CAGCCTGATCAACTGTGTTGAGAGTGTATGTAAGTATTCTGTGTGAATGTGTAGCCTAGTTGGGCAAGAATATTTACAGCAACTTGGGCAGTTGGGCAGTAGATGGGCAGTTGTTTATTGAAATACAGTTGTCAGCCTAGTTGGGCAAGAATATTTACAGCAACTTGGAAGGCCTAGATGGGCAGTTTTCTTTATTGAACACAGTTGTTAGCCTAGGTGGGCACGTACATTTATTGCTAGCCTTGATGGGCAAATATTTTATTGTTAGAAATATTACAGGTAACTAGAGAAATTGTATGTATTAATCAACTTTGATTAAACACTGATTATACACTTGCTTTGCTCTCTGTCCAAATAATACAAGAATAAAAGAACTAATTTTGAACTCTGTTTTGAGTGGATTTCAATCAATCATTTTATAACACAGGGATCAACAGAACCTTTTCAAATTTACCATTCCAATAACACGGAAACTATAGTACTTAAATTTAAATTCCGTATTCTATGTAATACAAGTCATAGGATTTGTTAACTAGATGCCACACAATGACACAGAGTCAAATTAGACATTCCACAGTCTAATCATTACCCTGACCAGGAAACTATAGTTTTTACACTTGAATTCTGCATTACCTAAAATAGGCATCAAACAGATTGGTAACATGAAGCCTCTCTATGATGTTCGGTCTTCTGCTCTGGCATCCTTTGTGTGACATGTGGTAATAGTGAAGTTTCTCAGATATGTTTGCATCTCTAAAGAAGAAAAGATATTGTTGATATTGTTGTTCATTTTAGAACTAGACTGGACAACTTTTGTCATCTTCCTTTGTATAACATATGTCATTATAGATTTCTATTGTTTTTACTTTGCTTTTTTTCCCCTCTAACCACAGGGTGGCACTAAAGAATAACAAATGAATACAATCTTCCCTACACCCTATAACTTGTAGGTAAAACATCTGAACCTAACAATAAACCTTATCTCAAATTTAGAATAAAATCAGACTGCTAATATAACACTGAAGTTATATATCCCTGTGGGTAAACTTTTGATGTGGACCCCCATTTTGTGACATACAGTAATGCAGTAAACTGCGAAATTTGTCAAATTAGTTCTTGGGATCACAAGGCAGGGAAAGAGACATTCATTCAACCATGTAGTTTATCTCATTCTCCTTCCTAGCAAGAAGAAAAACAACAGTTTTTCTTTCTTTTTCTTTTTCTTTTTTTTTCCAAATCTGGTCTTTGACTGACTGGCAAACTTTAGTGCTTACACTTCAGTTTCAATTCACTATAATAGGCGTCATAGGGATTGCTAATATGAGGCCTCTCTATGATGTTTGGTCAAACTTGATAGGTCTCACAGACTGCATTTGGATGACAATTCTGAACCCTCATTGGATTACAAATGTAACATTGTACTTACCTTTCCCCTTGTTGAACTTCTGCTCTGACAACCCTTTTGTGACATGCAGTATAAAGCAAACTATTTTGGTTTTTTTAGATATGAAGAAGAAAAGATATTGGTGATAATGTTGTCCATTTTTGAAGTAGACTGTACAACTTTTGTCATCTTCCTTTGGAGAGAATGTAACAGTATAGAAGACAGTCATGGTTTTTAATCTACATTAACCACAAGGTGGCAGCAGAGCATAGGAAATCAATACAAACTCCTCTAAACCCTTTAACTTCTGAACCTAAAAACAGAGACCTCAAATTTAGAATACAATCAGATTGCTCATCTAAAGCTGAAGTTAGGTTTCCCTGCGGGTGGACTATTCATCTGGATGCCATAGGTGACGTGCAGTAATAAAGCACAGTTTCTCAGATTTGTCCTTGGGATCACAGTGTAGGAAAAGAGAGATTCAGGAAACCAAGTGGTTTTCCTGATTCTCCCAGCTAGGGAGAATAAGAATCAACAGCTCTTTTGCGAATCAGGTGTTTCACTGCCTGGGAAACTTTAGTCCATACTCCTGCATTCTGCATTTACTATTATGGGTATCATAGGGATTCCTAATATGAGGCCTCTCTATGAAGTTGGGTCAAATTCGATAAGTCTCACAGACTGCATTTATATGACAATTCTGAAGCCTCATTGGATTGCAAATGTAACATTGTACTTACATTTCTCCTTGTTGAACTTCTGCTCTGGCAGCGATTTCGTGACATGCAGTACGAAAGAGAAGTTTGTCAGATTTGTTCTTGGGATCACTCTGAAGGCAAACAGAGATTTATGAAACCATGTGTTTTTCCTGATTCTCCTAGCTAGGCAGAATAAGAATCAACAGCTCTTTTTCGAATCTGGTCTTTCATAGACTGAGGAATTTTAGTCCTTATGCTTGCATTCTGCATTCACACTAATAGGCGTCATAGGGATTGCTAACATGAGGCCTCTGTATGATGTTCGGTCAAATTTGATAGGTCCAACAGACTGCATTTGGATGACAATTCTGAACCCTCATTGGATTGCAAATGTAACACTGCATTTACCTTTCCCATTATTGAACTTCTCCTATGGCAGCCATTTCGTGACATGTACTAACAAAGCGAAGTTTTTCACAGTTTTTCTTGGGATCACTCACAATGCAAAGGTAAACTGATGAAACAATGTGTTTTTCTTGATTCTCCTTCCAAGGGAAAATAAGATTCAAGGCCTGTTTTTCGAATCTGGTCTTTCGCTGACTGGGGAACATTCATCAATCTCTCATTCCCAAAGGTCCAAAGAATTCCTTCTCCAAAGAATAAATTTGGAAGAAAGGGCCTATTACCACATATGCTCAACTGCTCCCCACACCTGAAGTCTCCATCTGAGGATTCATGTTCACCCTAGGTAGTAGAATCAGAAAAACATCATGGTTCCATGAATCATTCCTTGCCTTAAGAGTGATCCCAAGAATAAATTTGGAAGAAACGGCCGCATATGCTCAAAAAGCCTATTGTAACAAGGGCAAACCTCCACTGTTACAACTGAGGGTCCCGGCTCAGAAAAACACTGTAACGAGCTGCCACCCGTTGATCCGAAATCCAGTAACTTTCCTTGCGACCAATATTGATTGAAGAGAAAGTTCATTTATTGAGAATAAGTGTACAGATCCAAAGCATTGCTAAGACTGATCAAAAGTGCGCCATAAGCTGTTTTTCTTACTTTCCTCCCCCTACATCGTCCTTACTTCTTGGTCCTCTGATTCTCTTGCTGGTATGATCTTGAGCATGCCAGAGCTTGTGATGAGGACCCATCTGGTTTAAACGGTTTCTCATTCCAACTTCCCCCCGCCGTTTACAATGGCAGAACTGCAACATATCAAAAACCTTTTTTTTTTTTAAACTAGCCATCTAATAACCTATTATAAAATCTTGCAAGGATTCTGACAAACACCAGATTTGAAAAAGACCTGACGATTTCTGTTCCCCCTCGGTAGTAGAATCAGACAAAGATCATGGATCATCAATCTCTCCTTGCCATAAGAATGATCCCAAGAATAAGTTTGGAACAAATGGCCTATTACCGCTTATGCTCAAAAGGCCTATTGTAGCGAGGGCGAAACTCCACTTTCAGAACTGAGGTCCCGGCTCAAACAAAAACCAGATATGAAAAAATCCTGAAGATTTGTGTTCTCCCTAGGTAGTAGAATCAGAAAGACATCATGGTTTCAAGAATCACTCCTTGCGTTAAGAGTGATCCGAGGAAGAAAGTTGGAAAAAACCGCCTATTACCACATATGCTAAAAGGCATATTATATTGACTGCGAAACCCCACTTTCAGAACTGGCGTTCCCGGCTCAGAAAAACACAGGATTTGAAAAAGACGTCATGATTCATGTTCTCCCGAGGTAGTAGAATGAGAAAAACATTATGGTTTCAAGAATCTCTCCTTGCCACAAGACTGAACCAAGGAAGAAAGTTGGAAAAAAGGGACTATTACCGCATATGCTCAAAAGGCCTATTGTATTGACGGCGAAACTCCCCTTTCAGAACTGGCCTTCCCGGCCCAGACAAACACCAGATTTGAAAAAGGCGTCATGATTCATGTTCTCCCGAGGGAGTAGAATCAGAAAAAGATCATGGTTTCAAGAATCTCTCCTTGCCACAAGAGTGAACCAAGGAAGAAAGTTGGAAAAAAGGGCCTATTACCGCATATGCTCAAAAGGCCTATTGTACTGATGGCGAAACTCCCCTTTCAGAACTGGCGTTTCCGGCCCAGAGAAACAGCAGATTTGAAAAAGACGTCATGATTCATGTTCTCCCAAGGTAGTAGAATCAGAAAAACATCATGGTTTCAAGAATCCCTCCTTGGCTTAAGAGTGATCCAAGGATGCAAGTTGGAAAAAACCGCCTATTACTGCATATGCTCAAAAGGCCTAATGTATTGACAGCGAAACTCCCCTTTCAGAACTGGCGTTCCCGGCCCAGAAAAACACCAGATTTGAAAAAGAGGTCATGATTCATGTTCTCTTTTGGTTTCAAGAATCTCTCCTTGCCTTAAGAGTGATCCAAGGAAGAAAGTTGGAAATAAAGTTGGAAATTATTACCGCATATGCTGAAACCTTTTCCACAAGGAACTGCATCCTAGGGAAAAGTGAACTACAGCATTACGTTCCGAATAGAATGAGATTTCAGAATTTCAGGATGAAACCGCAGTCTTTGACATTTATCTGCTTCCATGCAACATGGCACAGACACTCCATTATCGCATTTCTCTAGACATGTATATAGTTTAACCCAAAATCACATGGAGGCCTCATGTTACCAATCCGTATAATGTCTATTAGAGCAACATGGCTCAATTACATCATGCCAGCCATTGGACTCCTGACTGCAGATGCAAAGCTGAGGAAAGTGAACTGCACCATTACTTAACAATGTAATGAGGCTTGGAATTGTCAGGTAAATGCAGTCTATTACACATATCCAGTTTCATGCAACAGCACAGGGAGGCCTCATGTTAGCAAAACCTATAGTGCCTATTACACTGAAACCAAAATAAAAGTTAAAACTACAGTTCCCAGGACAGTCACACTCCAGATTTGACCAGCACCTAGTGATCCATCTTGTGCCTACCAAGGGGAATCAGGAATACCATACACTTGCATGAATTTCTCCTTGCCTACAGAGTGAACCCA